CAAACTAAACAGACCCGACACTTGTTCTTCTTCCATTGGCTCAGAGGAGAAAAGCACCTATTAGTCAGCAACCATGGCCAAAGCCTGGTCAGATAAACAGTGCACCAAAGGACACTGACTGACGATAAAGATGCCTAAATCGATGCGCATTAGTCCACAAAAGCCTAAATGATCTGATTCTCTTTGTCCCAGGGACTCCAAATGCATCATGGTTTCTACTCTGGTTGGGACCTAACAGTGCAGGCAGTTAAGACTCTCTGAAACAAATGCTCCGTTTTGAACCACCCTTACTGACAGACCCCTGAAAGTACTTCAGCCTCACTTTGGGAACCACTGCTTCATGCTGCCAACATGGTCAGCTGAGGCTGCATGACAAAGGAAAAAGAAACACAAAACAACTCCACCACTGGTTATTAAGAGCCTCGTCACAAAACAACCATGAGGATAGTAGACTCTAGCGTCACTCTACACAGTACAGATCTGTTCCAGGTTTTTTTTTGTGTGTGTGTGCGCGTGTGTGTGTGTGTCTCTGCTGCACAACCCTCAACAGACGGCCCCTGTCCAGATCCATCAAACTGTAAAATTATTCTAATAACATGCACAATTACAACAAGCTTCCCATCATGTCAGAATGAGATACATCACAACATCACAATGGGACGTTGCACACCAATGGCAAATGCCTGTGTATGTGTCACAATTCAGATTACTGCTTTTCTATGAAAGGGCCTAGGCATCGCAGCAGTGCATTGATCCACTGATCCATGACCAACAATTTAACCCCAGCCTACTGTAGTGCCGCTCTGTATCTCCATTATACGCAAACAAACAAGCTCCATACCTTAAAATGATTTCCCTGTTTGCGCCCTCACTTGATCTTTAACCCTGTTGCTCAGAGACAGAAACCCGTTTGCTTTTGACTTTCATATGATGAAAGTGATGAAGCTCTGTCCTCGTCACAGAAAAGCAGCTACTGGTAACCTATAGGCATCCTCCATTTACTAGGGCAGAATTGACAAAGGGATTAGTGATGTAATCATCCAAACGCTGTCCTCCAGTATGTATGATCCATATGGACAGAAACATGAGGCTAAATTGACATGAGATTAAAAAAAAACACATATTAGTAATACATCAGAGCAGCAATGATTAAGTCATCAAGTAATCAATTACTTGATTGACAGAAAATCTATCTATTTTAATAATAAAATAATCACTACATTACATTTTCAGCTTAAGCTTCTCAAATGTGAGAAGTTGC